GCTTATTTTTTTTAAGTTGTATTTAGAATTAGCCGGTTGTACCCAGTTTAGATGATCCCAATTTTGTTGGCAACATCCAAAATGTCATCGTTAGGAACAAGTCAGACATAGGCCTTTTCTCTCCATCAGGCCTAATTAGAGTGTTGACCTTAGCCACATCATTGTAACAGAGCTTCTTTACAGCTTGTTTGATTTGGTGCTTGTTGGCTTTGACATCCACAGTGAACATAGGTTTGTTATCTTTTATCTTCTTCATGACTGACTCAGTTGTCATGGGAAAGTTGATGATGGCATAGTCGTCAAGCTTGTTTGTCCTGGAAGCTATCTTCTGGGGTTATTTGGGCAGCCTTCAGAGTCTCAGCGTCTTAAGCCATCGGAAGGTGGGTGAGGTGCGGATCTTTTTTTTCTGTGGTTGTGGATGCCCTTCAGGATTGCCTTCTTGGCCTTTAATGCCTTTGCTTTGCTTCAGTTTTGGAAGGGAAAGGGGCTTCCTTCTTAGCTTTTGGCACCATCTTCGTAGAAAGGCACTATTTGTTTTCTTGATGGTCCATGGTATGTTCAAGACTGTTCTCCAGCACCACAGTGCAAGGCATTGATTCTTCTCCTGTCATCTTTAGTCATTGTACACCTCTCTGATGCATAGCAATTTCAAAGACGATGGCCTGATTAGGAGCACCTTAGTCTCTAGACTGACATTGTTGCTCTTCAGTACTCTGAAGAGGTCCCTGATAGCAGATTTTCCTAGTACAATTTGTCTTTTGATTTTCTGGCTGCTGGTACCAAGAGTGTTAATTGTGGAGCAAGCAGGCTGTAATTGTTAACAACTTCTATCACTTCTCTATCTAACGTAGTGTTACCAACTGCCTGAGTGGTGAGAATCTGTCCTTCATGTTGAACTTCAGTCCATACTTAAGAGGACAGTCCTTGATATTCTGCAGCAAACTCTTCAGGTCCTCTTTAGTTTCAGCAAGCAAGGTTGTGTCATCTGCATAACATTAGTTGTTGATGAGTCTTCCTCCAATCTTCCTCCTCATAAATCCCAGCTTCCCAGATGATATGTTCTGCATATAGACTGAAAAAAAATGGAGACAGGATGCATCCCTAACACACTCCTTTCCTGATTTTGAACCATGCAGTGTTTCCTTGGTGTGTTTTAAGGACTGCTTCCTGGTCCAAGTGTAAATTTCACATAAACACAATCACGTGTTCTGGGATTCCCATTTTCCTCAAGGTTAGCCACAATTTGTTGTGATCCACACAGTCAAATGCCTTTGCATAGTCAATGAAACACAGATAGATATCCCTCTGGTACTCTGCTTTCTGTCAAGATCCTTCTGACATTGGCAGTAATAGAAATAGTGCCATGACTTCTTCTAAACTCAGCTTGCATTTCTGGCAGTTCTCTATCAATGTATTGTTTCAGTCGTTTCAGTATAACCTGCAGCAGGATTTTGCTTGCACATGATATTAGTGATACTGTTCAGTAATTTCCATACTCTGACGAGTCACCTTTCTTTAAATGGGAATAAATATAGATCTCTTCCAGTCAGTTTACCTGGTAGTTGTCCTCCAGATTTCTTGGCACAACCTGCTGAGCACATCCTGGGCAGCATTTTTGTTGAAATATGTTGGTCAATTGGTATTCCATCAATTCCTCTGGGTTTATTTTTTGCCAAGTCTTTCAGAGCAGCTTGAACTTCCACCTTCATCACCATTGCTTCTTGACCATATGTTGTTTCTTGAAATTCTTCTGTGTCAGCTATTTCTTTTTTGTATAGTGACTCTGTATACTACTTCCATCTTCTTTTAATGCTTCCCAGATCATTCAATATTCTGCCCGTAGCATCCTGAAGTTTTTCAGCTCATGACCTGAACTTGTTCTTTAGTTCCTTCACCTTAAGAAATGACGAGCAAGTTTGGCCCTTTTTCTTTTCCAACTCTAGCTCTTTGTACATTTCATTATTATAGTTTGCCTTGTCTTCCTGAGTTGCCATTTGAAATCTCATAGTTATTCCATATTGATGATAAAACGTTCTTTTTCCTTGTGGTTGTGTACCATCAAGTTGGATCTGACTTGTAGTTGACCAACCATGCAGTGGGTTTTCAGAGGCAGTAAAACACATGAGAGGAGATTGCCCATCTTTCTTGAAACACCGAGTGGATTGGAACAGCATGACTTTAGTTTGGCAGCATAGTTCCAGAGATCCTTATTGATTTTCATTGCATTGGCATAAAAAACAATTTGGACAAAGCTAGAATGACCTGGACAAGTGATAGCGAACGAACAACACTGCCAATCAGAAGGTATGCAGTTCAAGTCTTAACAGCTACACTGGAAGAGAAAGTTGGGCAATCTCCTGAACAGTTTACTGCCTCTGAAAACTTGCTGGAAGATCAACTATGAGTCAGTTCTGACTGTACAACATGTAACAACAGTGTGGACAAAACTGCTCACAACTCAAATTATGGTTGTTCTGCAAGCTGTGCTAATCGTCTTCATCTTCATACACTATCATTAAAATACAACAACAACAAAGCACCCCAACTCCATTTTCACTAAAGACTCCTTGATCAGACAACCAAAATTCATTAAATATTATCCTCAAATTCATGCAATTTTAATATTCAATTTCAAGTGTGTGGTATCTGCATATGTTGGATGTCTTAGAAATACTAGTACAATTGATTTGCAAGATATCTATGTTCATTTGTGTATATGAGTTAAATAAAATTTACCATTTTGAAGTGTACATTTTAGGTGTTACTACTACTATATTCATGATCACCACCGTATAATTCATCATCCCAAAAAGAAGCAGCATATCCATTTAGCAGTCACTTACTCTCAGTCTCATTTCTCATTGTCACTTTGACAATCACTAATGTATTTTATATGTTTATAGTTTTGCCTGTTGTAGACATTTCATATAAATGGAGCCATCCTTATTATATGGTTTCCTAGCATGATGTTTTTGAGGTTCATCCTCTATGTTGTTTCTACCCGTAGAGTGTTTTTTTAGTACTTTATTTATCCTTCCATCAGTTGAAGGAGTTTGAGTTGTTTCTTTATTTTGGCTATTGTTAATGCTGTTCAGAGAAGTTTTGGCTACATCTAAGATTTGTATGTAGATATGTGTTTTTAGGCTTGTGGCTTTGTATCTAGCAGTGGAATTTCTGAGTAATTTTGGTAACCCTTACATTTTGAGAAATTGCCAAAATGTTTTTCAAAGTGACCCATACACAGAGCCTGAGGGCTCCAGTTTATCTATATTCTTACTATCTTTTTTTGTCTTTTTTATTGTAGCCATTTAACTGGATGTCAGGTGTTGCCTCACTGTGGTTTTAGTTTGCCGTTCTCTAGTAACTAGTCATATTAGTAATCTTCATCTGTTACTGGTTATTAACATTTCTCTTTTTTTAAATTTTATACTGGCTTACTTACAAAGTTCATATTTCTCTTTGATGAATTGACTATTTGGGTTTTTTACCCATATTTTTAGTTGGTTGTTTTTTTATTGTTGAATTGCAACAATTCTGTGTATTTTCTGGATGCCGAACTTTTGTTAAATAATATATTTTACAAATTTTTATGTACAGTCTCTTGCTTATAATTTTAATTTTTTTCATTAATATCTTTGAATATAAAACTTTTAAACTATATGAAATAAAGAACAATGGATTTTAAGGGCACAAAACATGACATTTTTGGAGTGATTTCCAATTTCACATTATAATTAACTTTTAAAATGTCCTTCTGTCTCTCAACTTGTTATCTATAAATCTGAGTTTTTTCCATTTATTCAATATAAACTTCATGCTGAAAGAGATTGAATGAAGAAGTGATTTTGAGAATCTTAGTATTTTTTTTGTTAAGTTAGTATTAAAAAGGGATTTACAAAATACAAAATGGTACTTTTATCATCAGGAATCCCTATGGTACCAGATGGTTAAACAGTTACCAACCAAAAGATTGGCAATTTGAACCCACTCACCAGTGCTTTAAGCAGCCCAGGTGTATGTAATGTTTAAGGCGGTTCATGAGAAGATCAGCAGTTCATATCCAGCAGCCACTCCTTAAGAGAAAGATGGCCAGTCTTCTCCTATAGAGATTTGAAGCCGCACATGGTAGGTCACTGTGAATAAGAACCAACTCAACAGCACATGGTCAGAGAGCTACACTCAGCAGGGATTTTAGACAGGTACTTTGGAAGAAAGGCCTGACCAGCTACTTCCTGAAGGTCACACAGCCTTGAGCCCCTGTGGAGCAGATCTCCTTGGTTACCACAAGTCAACAGTGTCAACAAGAGACTGTTAAAATTAAGATATTTTTGTTTAATGGTAGTTTTTCATAAATATATGTTAACATTATATTTATTGTAAATTCAAGTGAATTAATGAATAAAGTGAGTTTTTGTTTTCATTTTGAACTCAATACTAATAAATAGTATATCTCACAGAAGTAGAAGGTTTTGAGTTTCAGTAATTTGGTGAATTTGGGGTGTTTTTTTTTTTTTTAAATATTGCTGCTGCTTTTAACTTGGCATATTGCCTCATAGTTACATTACATAGCTCTCACATATTTGTTTTGCTGTTTTCCATGCTATTTTCTCCTGTTTTCTTAATTAGATTGTTAGCTTTTTGGGGGGCAGTCAGTGGTTTGACTTCTTAGGATATCTTTTTTTTTTTTAATTTAGATTGTTTATTTTTCATTTCAATGAACATCTACAGAGATTTTGGGATTCCATTCATTCATTGTTGCACCCTTCTCCCCGCACAAACCCCCCCCCCCCATTTGCTCCTCTCCTTGAAAAGCAAAAGAAAAACTCCCTCATTGGTACACAATCCCCCCCCCACACACACACAAGGATATCTTAATTCTCCTTGTGGAATAAATGCACGGGGAATAAATGAGGAAACGAACAAGGTCCTATTGATCGACCTAATTAGGGTAGTATTTATTGTGTAGACTTTACTATTAACAACTAATGTTTTTCATTTAGGTGGAAGAACACAATGGTCACATTTTTAAAGCCACTCAGTATAGCATTCCTACATACTGTGAGTACTGTTCTTCTTTGATATGGATAATGGACCGAGCCTCTGTTTGCAAATGTAAGTATGAGAAATCTGTGAGATTCTTTTTTAACCCTTAATTCATTTATTATCTTGACTTTTCTTATGTCTTCTTTAATATTAAAGACTAATTAATATTCATTCTTAAACCCCCATATTGTTCTATATTCTCCTTTACCTACTCTCAGTAGCCGAACCATACTCTTTTGTACCCCTTAGTTACTTAGGGTACATGTATCACTGTATCTAGAATGGCCTTCTTCTTGATTTTAGCAGAATTTAATATTTCAATTAATTCATAGCTCCACTCAAGGGCCACCTAATTTCTTTTCTTGTTTGTCACCCTGTCCTTCTAGAATGTGTTCTATAACACATTCTAGAAGAGTAGAGTTGGTCACGTTGGTTCTGACCTAAGAAATCTTTACCTCTCTTATTCCATATTTCTATTCTGATATTATTAATAATCCTACAGCACGATGCTTTTACTACTGTTATTAAGTATCACTGAATTAATTTCAACTTCTTGGAACCATGTATGACAGGATACAAACCATAGAGTTTTGTTGGCTTTGTTCTTTGTGGTAGCAGATCACTGGGTCTTTTCCTGCAGAACTTCTGTATTGATTTGAAACACGAACCTTAAGATTAGCAGCTGAGCATTTATCTGTTGTACTACCCAGCTCTTTTGTTTTTCCAGTAGACCAGAAATGAAGAAAAGAAATAATAGGACTGAGTTCAGTATGACTGTGAAGAAATGAAGGTCATGTTTGCCTTAATAAAAACCCCCATTATCCTGGATATGATCACTTATTCCATAGTCCAAGAGTGGTTTTCTTTTAATTTTTTTTTATTAACTATCTAAAATATATGTGTGTGTGTATATATATTACATATACATGTATATGTATACTGACAGTCTAAAATTTAAGTGTATATTGTTGAGGACCCTAAAGTTGGAACTGACTCATAGCTAATTGTCCAGCTAGCTTTCAGAGGCTGTAAATTACATGGAAGAAGATTGTCCATCTTTCTCCTGCAGTGCAGCTCATGGATTCAAATGGCATACCTTTGGGTTGGCAGCACAGTTCCTTACCACTAAGCCAACAGAACTCCTTAACATATATTGTTGTTGTTGTTGTTATGTGCCGTCGAGTTGTTTGCGACTCATAATGACCCTATGTACAACAGCCCTACACCGTGCTCTATCCCGTGCCAATCTCATTGCCTCTGACACACCCATCCCAATTACCCCAGTCACTAAATCAATCCACTTCATAGAGGGTCTTCCCCTCCTGCACCGTCCCTCCACTCTACCAAGCATGATGTCTGTCTCTAAAGACCTGTCTCTCCTTGCAACATGTCCAAAGTATGTCAGACGAAGCCCCAGAATCCTTGCCTCCAAGGAGCAGCCTGATTTAACCCTCTCTAGGATGAATCTGTTTGTTTTCTTGGCAGTCCATGGTACATTCAATACTCTTCTCCAGCATCACAGCTCAAAGGCGTCAATTCTCCTTCTATCCTCCCTAGTCATTGTCCAACTCTCTGATGTATGTGTGTGTGTGTGTGTGTGTGTGTGTGTGTGTATATGGTAAGAATTAAAATAAATGATGCTTTAAAGTACATTTAAATATATTCTGATACCTGTAGGTTTGGTATAATTCCTCTGTGAGCTGAATTTGAAAGTTAATTTGTTGTGGATTATTTTGTTGCTTGTGTTTTGCTTTTTAATGATAGAGTTGGACTTGATTTGATTTCTTAATAAAATAAGTTAGCTTCCTCTTTTTTCCTGGTAGCTCTGCATACAGCCATATGACTTCGTCTGTTTAATTTTGGCCTTGATAACCTTGAGTTAAAATTTAAAAGTTAAAGAAATTAGATATTGTTATACATAGTCCAAAGGGAGTTTAGCAAAGTGGTATAGGCCAGCTTCCTGCCCTCCTGCTTCCCAGACACCCCTATTGATGGTGATAAGAAATCATTTCTGCTTTGAGTGTTTTATCTCATCTTTTCAGTCACAACTTACTGTCTTTTAAGTTTTGCTTCTCAGAGCTCTGTTCTGGGCCTTTAGAAAAAAAAACCATAATAAAAGAGGCTATTAAAAATATTTTTAGGTACTAATTTGTTTTCCTTCAGCTAAAAGTCTTTGACCGTAATTCTTGTTCTTTGGAATTATTTTTAACTGGAATTTAGGAGATTATAAAATATATATATATGTGAATAAGCATTGATTTATGAATCAGGTCACAGAGATATACATCTATCTGGCTGGAATATTGGTGGGACGGGATGAGGGAATCATCAGAGAATAAAAGATTTTTTTCATGCACAGTGGTTAGAAAATTTTGGTGTGTTTTTCAACTTAAGTGTGTTCCAAAAGACTGACTTAAAATCCTTTTTCATTATAACATACCGCTTTTGTTTTGTTTTGTTGTATATAGTTTGCCATGACTTGGTCCCAACTCAGCAGCAGTAACTAACAACACTAGAGTACATATGTGATAGTATAGCTATATAAGAATTAAAGAAAATAAAATAAAAAATAAAATTGTAAACTGGCTAAGTTCTTATCTTTTTGTTATTTATTATGTAGATTTTTTTTAAATTGCCTACTTAACCTGTTTTTCAGTGTGCAAGTATGCTTGTCACAAAAAGTGCTGTTTGAAAACCACAGCCAAGTGCTCTAAAAAGGTAAGAAGTTATAACCTATCAATAGTAAGTAATAGAGGTTAGGATGTATGAGTGTGTGTATGTTCATGCACTTGCATTTGTACCTTTTGGAACTAATCCCAGTAAGGGATATGTTTATGTCATGTTCTAATGCACAGAAAGAGAGAGAGTGTGTGTGTGTGTGTGTGTGTGTATAACTTAAATTCTTTTTCTGAAACTGGGTGGTACAAATGTACTCAGCTGTTAAACAAAGGGTTGGAGGTTCTGGACCATCCTTTAAAATGTTACATTCCGGTTAAAGATAGATAAATAGAAACATGAGCAGCGAGTTTAACCAGAAGAGTTGAGTTTTTTTCCCATTTGGATATAAAGTCAGAACTAAAACACACTGAACATGTGTTTACTCTCTGTCCCTTAGCATTAAAGGAACTGAGCATTTTTGAAAGAGTTCAGACTTTCATTGAATGATGTCTGATTACAGCCTTATTTGTTAATTATTAATTACATACTACCAGGAATAGCAATGCTATGTAAATTTGTCCTATAATATATATGAATGTTATTTATAGTTTACGTTGTAGAATTTGTTTTGCTTTCAAATTAACACAGTTAGTAGAGAAATTTGGGTCAGAGTAAATACAGTGAAACTGGAACTTTCAGCAAAAATGGAACAATTGTCTTTTGGTATACTCAGAGAGCTGGCCATGCAAATTTGACTTTAAGAGAGAAGAGAATTTCAAAATCAGGAATCTGTTCTGTGAGATGTCTTTTTTCTTGTGGAAATTTTCTAGTCTTTGGAGATGTACAATAACCCAAGAATATGAACTGAGGCCCACGTTTAAGAAAAAGAAAAGACAGCAAAGATTTTAGAAATCTCATAGAGCTAGTGGGGGGAAAGGGAGGAAACTAATCAGAAAAGCCATTTCTACAGCCTCACTTCACAAAAATTCTTATTACTGAACTGATAGCCAAGATGATGATAGATAGAGAAAAGATTGAAACTATCACCAAGTTCATCTTACTTGGATCCACCCTTGATAGCAGTAGTCAGGAACTAAGGAAACACATTGCAATGGGAAAGCCTGCAGTTAAGGTCCTCTCTCAGTTACTGAGGAGTAATGATGTTAGTTTGTGGACTAAGGTGTGCTTGATTCAGTCCATGGTCTTTTTCTTCACTTGCTATGCATCAGAGAGCTGGACAGTGAATAAGAATGACAGAATAATTTATGCCTTTGAGCTGTGGTGTTGGAGAACAGCACTGAACATCCCTTGGATAGCCAAAAGAACAGATAAATATGTCTTGCAGAAGGTGCAGCAGTATGCTATTTGTAGTCAAAGATGATGCGGCTTCACTAGGATTGGCTGTTCCTTGGAGAGGGACATGATGCTCAGAAAAGTAGAGGGTCGGCAAGGGGAGGAAGACCCTCAACCTGGTGAATTGACACAGTGACTGCTACAATTGGTTCTTATGTGTCAGGAAGTGTGAAGATGGCACAGGGTATAGGACAGGATTCAGATCTGTTGTTCATAAGGTTACTCTTGACTCAGTGGCACTTAAGAGCAACAACACAGCCTCACAGTAAAAAGAATAAAAACAAAGACTGGTAAATAAACATCTTGGGCTCTCCGTAGTAAAATTAATTTTACATTAATTTCAAAAAATACTATTTTTAAATCTGTTTACTTTAGTTGTTGGTTTTAACCAAATGAAACAAACTGATTGGTGGAATTAAACTATTTTTTACATTTTTGTTTACTTTCCTTTGTTTTCATATACTTAACTAGTAACATTCTTTTTTTTTTTTAAATTTTATTTTCTTGTTGTGTACCTTCGATGGCACAGGAGGAGATTGCCCCTCCTTCTCTAGCAGAACATTTAGTGGATTTGAACTGCATTACTAGTAACATTCTTAATGCAGTGAGGAGAGTTTAAATTTGTTGAGAATAAATTATAGTCTCATAAATTATGCATATGTCACAAGAAGCTCAGGTGGCAGCATGTGTCACATATTTTGTTGTGTTAAGGTCAGTGGTCTGAATATACCAGTTGCTCAGAGAGAGAAATGGGGCAGTCTACTTTCATAAAGATCAGTAGCCTCTGAATCCCTGCAGAGGTCACCATGGGGCAGAATTGACTGCAGTTAAGTTTGGCTTGGTATGTGTGTGTGGCAGCAGTAGCTAGAAGCTAAAATTTGTTTTGTTTTTATCATTGCAACAGCAGTATTACATTTCATTTCTTTTTTTTATTTATTTCATTTCTTTTAAGTTAGCATTTACCATAATACAGACTTCACTGTGTATATTCACCTGCAGCTTAGTTTTGAAAACTTTTTATTAAGATTGGAGTGAATGTTTACCGAGCAGATTGGTGTTTTATTCATCCATTATACTATTTTATTTTGTGACATTGATTACAATTCCCATGTTGTATCATTACTCTTCCATTTATTTCTCTGTGATTCTTGTTTCTATTCATCCTTCCATCCTCTCACTTCCTTCTTTCTGAGCTCTGTTGTTATTGATTGCTTTCAAGTCAAGCACAACTCATAGTGATCCTGTGAACAAAAGGCCCAAAGACCCTCTATAACAATCGACATTTATGAAAGTTCATTGAGTCTCCAAAGGCATGTTATTTAGGATGTGGATGTCACTCTATCCCTAAGCAAATGCTACCCTTGTGATCTTGTGTTAATTGTTCTAAGCATTGAGTACCTCCCTGGTATTATTGTTAACCTTATATATCTAGCTATAATTTGATTAAGTTTTGTCATAATAGTTCAGTTCTAGGCTCTAAGGATGGCTCAGGCCATAATGCCAGGGTTTCCACCAGTCTCTATTGGATCAGTTAGCCTGGCCATTAATTGTGATTTTGAGCTTTGTTCTACATTTATCTCACACTCTGCCCAGGATCCTATATATGGTGATCTCTTTGAGACCACAGTCTTAGAGACATCAAGTTGAAGTTCAAATGTCCCTAGTGCTATGGCTTTCTTGTTTCTGTGTATCTTGCGGTCTTTTCACTCTTTTTTGCTTCAGACTTGGAGAGACCAATGATTGCACTTTGGTGGCCACTCATAGCCCTTTAAGTCTCCAGTTGCTGTTTCCAGTGCAGGCTATAACTTAATTTACTTAATTTTTACAACAACCTTCGTAAGCAGAAAGATGGTATTCTTGTTGCGAATATGAAATAACCTGTCAAAATCTATATAATGAGGATGCTAAAAATTTAAAACTATTCTAAAACTAAGAGTCCTTTCAGTTGGGTAAATGCTTTTTAGAAATGTTTGCTTATATTAATTTAAGGTAACTTAATGTACTTCCTCTTGATGTTTAATGATTAGCCACTTTGGATGTTTGGGAGAAAATATAGTATATGTATATGTTGTTGTTATGTGCTGTCGAGTCGAGTGCGACTCATGTACAACAGCACTAAACTCTGCTCTGTCCTGTGCCGATCGCACTGTCGCCGACACACCCATTCCGATTACTCCAGTCACTGAATCAATCCACCTCATAGAGGGCCTTCCCCTCTTGCGCTCTCCCTCCACCCTCCCAAGCATGATGTCCCTCTCCAAGGACTGGTCTCTCCTCACAACATGTCCAAAGTATGTTAGACGGAGCCTCAGAATCCTTGCCTCCAGGAAGAGGCCCGGTTTAACCCTTTCCAGGATGAGTCTGTTTGTTTTCCTAGCAGTCCATGGTACCGTCTTCTCCAGCACCACAGCTCAAAGGCATCAATTCTCCTATCATCCCTAGTCATTGTCCAGTTCTCTGATGCATAACAAGTGATAGCAAAGACCATGGCCTGTATCAGATGCACTTTAGTCTTCAGAGAGACACCATTCCTCTTCAGTACTTTGGAGAGGTCCCTAACAGCAGACTTTCCCATCACAATACATCTTTTAATTTTCTGGCTACAGTTTGCTCGGATCCACGGTCAACACTCTTGGCACCAGTAGCCAGGAAATAAAAAAACGTTTTGAGATGGGAAAGTCTGCTCTTAGGGACCTCTCTAAAGTACTCAAGAGCAACGGTGTCTCTCTGGAGACTAAGGTGCGCCTGATACAGGCCATGGTTTTTGCAATCACTTGTTATGCATCAGAGAGTTGGACAATGACCAAGGAGGATAGAAGGAGAATTGACGCCTTTGAGCTGTGGTGCTGGAGAAAGAGTATTGAATGTACCATGGACTGCCAAGAAAACAAACAGATTCATCCTAGAGAGGGTTAAACCAGGCTGCTCCTTGGAGGCAAGGATTCTGGGGCTTCGCCTGACATACTTTGGGCATGTTGTAAGGAGAGACAGGTGTTTAGAGAGGGACATCATGCTGGGTAGAGTAGAGGGACAGCACAGGAGGGGAAGACCCTCTATGAGGTGGATTGATTCAGTGATTGGGGTAATCGGGATGGGTGTGTCAGAGACAATGAGATTGGCACAAGATAGAGCACGGTTTAGGGTTGTTGTACATGGGGTCGCTATCAGTCGCAAATGACTCTACGGCACATAACAACAACAACAACTGGTGCCAAGAGTGTTGACTATGGAGCCAAGGAAACTAAAAGCTGTGACAATTTCAGTCTCTTCACCATCCATCCTGATGCTGTCAGTTGGTCCAGTGGTGAGAATCTTTGTCTTTTTGACATTGAGCCTCAATCCATATTGGAGGCTGCAGTCTTTGACCCTCTGCAGCAAGCGCTTCAGGTCCTCTTCAGTTTCAGCAAGCAGAGTTGTGTCATCTGCATAATGCAGATTGTTGCTAGACCTTCCACCAATTTTGACCCCACATTTCCCCTCATAGAGCCCAGTCTCCCAGATAATCTATTCTGCATACAGGTTGAAAAGGTATGGAGACAGGACATATAGAAAAAATGTTTATGAAAAATGTTTCTGACTCTGGGATAATACTTTTTGGGGTTTTGCCTGTGAATTACTTCTACATGCTTGGCTCCACTTCTTGGCTTTGCCCTGAGCAGCCACAACTTCAGTGGCTTTGCATACCGTCCCTTCATCTCCCAGGACCTGCATGGCCTTGATGGGCTTCTAGTTCTTGTCCAGTTCATAAACAACAGGAATTCCAGTGGACAGATTCAGCTCCATGGTAGTCTCCTCAGAGAGACACTCCAGATGTTTGATAATTCTCTGAAGCCTATTGCTATGGGCTTCAATCAGTGCTTGTTTCCCATCCTTAATCTGAGGAACTCTTTCTTCATTCCAAAAGGGCAAGACTCTGGCAATAGTGTCCTTCAGACTCTCACAGGAGGGCAGCTGATATTCAGTCAGGTCTGCATACCTGCAGTCTTATTGATGTTGCTGTAGAAGGAGTGGTCAGGCTCCATTGGTGGTGGTAGGATGTCATAGGAGCGCCTCCAGATCTTTACCCAGGCCTCGCCATGCTTGGCAGCAAGTTTTTGAGGGATCCCTGTAATGCCGCTCATTGAGGCACCAAGTCCTCACTACTGGCAGCCATGTCTAGTCAGTGGCATCCAGAACTGTCCAAAGCGTCCAGATTGCTCTCTTCTGCACTGAGGTGAAGCAGATGTCAGATTCATAGCCCAGCATCTCACAGCACATTTGGCCACCTCCTGCCCCTGACTCAGGTCAGCATTGTACCAGCTGCTAAAGTTGTTCTCCAGGTTACAGACACTCTGCCGTGGTGGATGAGCACGAGCTGGTGGCAGCAGGCTCAGGATGCGGGGCTCCCCTTCAAATGATCTTAGCAATCAATTTTTCTGTTGCATTTGTGTAAACTATAGTTAATAAGGATGATATCAGTTTCATACAGTAGTACATTCAAGAAGAAAGAGCCATAGCATTATTCGTAGGCCAGTCATGTGTCTTCAGTTATGATATCAGTTTTCACGCATCTAAAATTCTCCACGGTTTACATAATATTTATAGCATCCTTTTAAAAAAATACTATAATTTGAAGCACCACTTCTGTGTTTCCATTGCTCCTTGGTCTAAGATGGCAGAAAAAGCCTTCTGGCATGTGGTATCAGAGATCTCTGTCCTGAAGACTACCACTGGACCCTGAGATTGGGAGTTATGGGTACAGCAAGTAAAAGAGGAATGCCAGTCCCTTGGTTGGTATCTGGAGAATAACAGAGTCCAGAAAAAATGCTTAGTTCCAGCTGGAGTCTAGCAGAGAAGGGCCTTGGTGGTTTAGAAAATGCTGGTACATTCTTGACCTCCACAAATAAGAGTTTGACATCACGTTTGATATTCCTATCATCTGTCATACTACTGCTTCAGAAATTGCAGTCCCTGAACTGGATGGAAAGACAGCAAAGGTGTACAAATGTAGCAAAATATGCCTACCTGATCACTTCAAGAATTTATGGGCCAGGAATGTGCTCAAGTTTGGACTAGCTCATCTTGTGGCTGTTGGACTAAATCCATGGTTGGCAGTGGAAACACCAGATCTGATTCAGAAGAGTGATCTGGCACAAAGAGAAATGTGGTCAGTGAAGGATCAGATCACTCTGAGGATGAACAGAAGGATCTTTGATATAAACCAGGTTTCTTACTCATCTAAATGCTTCCCCTTTCCCTCCCCGTTCCTACAAGTTACTATGCCACTGCAGCAGGCAGTGCTTGGGGAAGCCAAAGCAGTATTGCTATTAAGCTTCTAAGTTAGGCTGCGGAAAGAATGGGAAAGGCTTGGACCTTGGAAGAGCAAGAGGCAATACAAGGCCCACCCCAAGTGGAGCAGTGTAAGATCCTGAAGGTAACTGAAAGTGGAAGTTTTTAGTTTCTGGAGATAACCATCAATAAAAGCTGCTTTCTCTGGTGGCAAAAAAAAATATAATTTGGCTTAAAGTTTACAGAGCAAATTAGTTTTACATTTAAACATCTTGTCATTGTTATTAGGTGTCATTGAGCCGACTGGAGCTCATATCAACCCTCTTTAAATAACAGATGTGAACCTTGCCCTGTATTGCAACATCCTCATGATTTCTCTCATGCACAAACTTGTTGTGGTAGTCACTGTGCCAGTACATCTCATGGAGGGTCTTGTTTCTTTCAGTGACCCTCTACCTTTCACAACATGATGAAACATTATGCTAGGGAAACATTCTTAGCCTCAGAAATTACTGGCAACTGGAATTTATTTAATATCAGTATAGTTTTCAAATAGCACTTGGTAAATATGCAAGCTGTTTGCATACGAAATCCATCCCTTTTTTCCCCACGCCTAAATTCCACTCTTGCATGAAGAGATTCTCAGTAGGAAAGAACATGTAAAATTACCAGTTACTACTCCCTTCATCCTCCACTCCATTATTTTCTTTCAGTGGTTCCCATTGAGACAGGATTGAAAATGACATTCAGTTAGCACTCATTTCTGTTTTCAGCATTAATCATTTTGGGTTTCCCCCTCTCTAATCATGCTTATAAATGTCTCTAATAAATAGTTCTTTCAAAGAAAGGTTTAAAGATGTTTTGAATATTTAAAAACAAAAATTATTTCCTTGTCTAGTATGACCCCGAGTTATCATCTCGACAATTTGGAGTTGAACTGTCCCGTTTGACCAGTGAAGACCGAACTGTTCCTTTAGTGGTGGAAAAGCTCATAAACTACATTGAAATGCATGGATTGTATACAGAAGGTATTTACAGAAAATCTGGTTCAACTAATAAAATCAAGGAGCTTCGACAAGGTCTAAATACAGGTAAGATAGTATATTCCTAATCATGGGCAAATACTATTAAGAAAAATGTTGTCTTGTTTTTTGGTACTCTTTTGCCATGTTACAGCTTTCTGTAGAGTTTTTGGTGTTACACATTTAATTCAACAAGCATGTATTGAGCACCTCATTTGTAGAAAGCATTGCTAGACATTTCCAGATAGCTCTCATAATAATTTTTCAAAAATTCTCTAAAATGTGATAGATTTCATTTATAAAGAATAAAATATATAGGAAGAAACAGTTCTGTGAATTAGAATATTATCCTCATTCTCAAACATCTTGACCAAAGATTCTTCACTAAGTGACCAAACGAAAATTTAATTTCAACTCTTAAGAACTAAGTGTTACACCTGTTTGTCTCTTATTATTCTGACTTCATCTTGATTTGCTTTTCCCTGGATCTTCTTGTATTAGTGACATAGTTACTTCAAATTAGTAAACTGGTATCTCTGTAAAGCTGTAACCTCAGTCCTAGAACATATCCTGGGAAGTCAACTGGGATTGACTTCATTCTCAGTTTCTGTTCTTTTTTATCTTTTTTTTTTTTTTCATTTTCTGTTCTTTAACAGTCTTGAAAGAGATCTTTTGAAACAGTCTTAGGTACAAAGTTTATTTCTTTGAGACCAAAAATATATTTATAATGCATTTCTCTGTAGTTCAATGAGTAATGAGTTTGTGTGGAAATAATAACAGAAAATACCTAGAAAGTTCAGTCAGGAATTTTGCCTACCAGAAACTTCCAGGTTAGCTTAAAGTCAGTTGTGAATTTTGTCTCTTGTATATTAGAGCCACACAAATGAAAAATCACTCACCCTTTGTTTCCTATTTTTAAAAAAAATTATTATTTTTTGTATATGTACCGTCAAATTGGATCTGACTGGTACAGGAGGAGATTGTCCCTCCTCCAGCAGAGTATCTGGTGGATTTGAAATGCGCACTTCTGGTATTGCAGTATATCTTCTTGCCACTAGGCCACCCAAGCTCCCTTGTTTTCTTAATCATCTAATCTCTATAACTTAGGAATATTAGAAATAAAATAAATGTATTTCCATTACAACTCCTAAGCTTAGTCACCATCCTTTTATCTCCAAGAATAATTTAAAATAATTTTTGGAAAGCCATCTCTGGACTTTTTTGCCATTTATCACTTAATGACCACTCCCTGAGTGCATGATAGAATAAATACAGAAGTTGAGAGTAAGTATGTAGAGATGTTTATAACAGCTTAGCAGTATGCAGAGCATTTGTTTTAAATCCACAGCAGATTCTGAAAAAGTAAAACTGTTCCTTCTTCAGAAACATTTTTCTAAAGCACATGTAGTTAAATTGTGGGAGAAGTAAGTTTAAGAAATATGAAGGTTTCTTTTGATGATAATATTTTAAAAATTAAATTTTTTTAATCTTTTTGCATACTTTGGCATTATAATCTGTAATTCTTGTCTCTTATAGATGCTGAGAATGTAAACCTGGATGACTATAACATACATGTCATTGCAAGTGTGTTCAAACAGTGGCTTCGTGATTTGCCCAATCCACTCATGACTTTTGAACTTTATGAGGAATTTCTTCGAGCTATGGGTAAGAACAGACTTCCACTGTTAAAGGAAAGACTTCCACTTGAATGCCATCTTTAACACAGATTATTAAATTATTCCCTAACATGAATTAATTTTGTAGTCCAGAGTTAAGCTTTTGACAGTTGATCAAAACTACAAGGTAATTGCCTATTCAACTGTTGACTCTTGAGAGATTCATTAAAATATCAATTCCCATAAAAGTTTTTTGTGTCACTTTAACTTGCTTCTTACAAAAAAAGGGATTGAAAATCTTGGGTTATGAAAAAGATTAACGAATGCATAGAAGATTTAAAGGTTTATTTTTATTACTATTTTTTAAAATTTTGAATCTAGACAAGAGCTCTGTGTAAACTTGACAGCCCATTTTGTGTCAGATATAGCTGGTTTTCAAGTTTGGTGTCTGTAAAAGGAGCAGATCCAATATGGAGATGGCCAACTCTGACTTCTACCTGCTTCATAAAGGGGAACTATCCCCATCAGTAATATGCATTCTACTAAACAAATAGCTAATGGTCAGACATGCCAGCCCACATGCTCCTCAGCCTATTTCTACCAACCATTGGGTCCAGTGTTCATTGCAAGTTGACTTACAGACTCTTCCCCATTCCACAATCTCACAGTGTAAATCCAGCTTTAGTCTGGCAGTCCCAAGCCAGATTAACAAGGCACAATTCCTCAATTAGTAAAAGTTCAGATTCATTTTGGCAGCACAAATGCAAGAAGCCTCCAGTTTCCTCAATCATCCAGCAAACTTTATCTCATTGCGTTACAAGTCAGATTTTCCAGAAGGTAAAACCTTTAACTGTGGCTTCATCTCCAGGCTTCCAAGGATATACTTTGCCACAATCTCTTCACAGTAGTGTCACAGTCTCTTTACCCTCTATCCACCACTGTCACCACTGTTTTTTTTT